CTGTAATACAAAATACTGTGATTTAGAATAAGCAATACATATTTGATGTTTGTCCTGCTCCTGGCATATAGCTCCTGAAACCCTGGTAATGTCCTAAGTGATAAGTGCTTTCAAGAACATCTTTTGTTCTAATAGTTGGTCTTTTGTTCTCAAATAGATTCAGTTCCTAAAGTTGCTCTGAACTGATAAAGGTGAATGGAATGTCTTGTTATTCATAACAAGTCCTTTCAAGCATACCTGAGTTTATGTTAATGAGGTCACCTTTGGAAAGCCCCTAGATAAAAACAGGACAGGACCTGGTTGCCATGAGAACCAACCCTGTGATTACAGGGTTAGAACTTCTAGCCCCATTCCCATCAGCCCTACCTCCAGGGAGGGGAGAAGGACTGGGCTTTAACCCTGAATGGCCAATGATTTAATCTACTATGTCTACATGAGGAAGCCTCCAGAAAAATCCCTAAAGTACAGGGTTTGATGAACATGTGTGGGTGCTGGGAGGGTGGCGGCGTGCCCAGAGAGACCCCAGGAGCTGTGATCCCCTTCTCTCACATCTCGCCCTATGCACCTCTTCCAGCTGGACGTTCCTGAGTTATCTTCTTTATAATAAACTGGTCACCTAATAAGTAAACTGTTATCCTGAGTTCTGTGAGCTGTTCTAGCAAATTAATCCAACCTGAAGAGAGGTTCATGGGAACCTCTGATAAAAACATCAAAAATGTGCCTCCCCTCAATATGGTATAACATGATATTAAGGGTAATAAATGGGTGCCTCTGGGTGATGGGATCATGGGTAATTTATGGTTTTTGTTGGCTTTATTATATGCTTCATTTTTTATGTCTGTTTCTACAATTAACACATGAAACTGTTTGAGGCAAGAAAGGAGAAGAGTAGAGCCTGCTGCCCCTGTGCTTTTTACCAAGGGACACAAGACCTTTCCCCAAAGACCACCCCCTCCCCAAATCTTCATCCTAAGCCTTGTTGATTTTTTTCCTGCTCCTGGTATAAAGCTTCTAAAACCCAGGTCATTTCCTAAGTCATCAGAATAATGGGAACCTTTTTTTTGTTTTAATATTTGGTCTTTTGTTCTCAAATTGTTCCTGTCCCTGAAATTGCTCAGGAATGATAAAGGGGTTGAAAGGAATGAAAGGGGTTACCTCACCACCACTGTTCCACGCAGGATGGAGAAGGGGGTATTTCGTTGTTTCCAGGCTCTACAACCTCACTAGAGAAAGGTGGCAACAGAGAAAAGGGGTGGTGATAATTAGCAGCCTGAGAAAGCAGTTCTCAGCACTTACAACAGCAGAACTAGGCCACCATGTCCTCGTTCAGGCAGAGTTTTCTCAGTTTGGGGAGGATATTATCACTTTTGCATGTGACCCTGGGTGTCCAGAAAAGACTTCTGATAATAAAACCTAGAGTTCTGGACACTCACTAACACTTCCATTGAGCATCAGAATGAATCTAGTCCTGTTCTCACAGGCTTTCTGTGGCAGTAGTAATTGTTATTACTATTTATGAAGTGCGTTTTTTTAAGAGTATTGCTATCCTTGTACTACAGTTGAAAAAGTAAACCTAAGGTTAGTGTAGTGGGAACAAATTCACAATGAAGAGGACAACCCCTGGGCCTCCCCTGGTGGTGCAGGTGGTTGAGCGCAGTGCTGTGAAGCTGTCCGCAGCCTCTGCAGTGCTGGTTCGATCCTGGCTGACTGCGAGGATCACACATGGCGCAGCAGACCTCTCCTGTCTTGCCTCAGCAGTGTATTTCGTCAGTCTGCCTGTTCTGTTCCCAGCTCTGTCTCTGGTGAATCCTCTCACCCTCCCACACATCTGGCCTGTACCCTGGTTCTTATATAAATAAATAAATAAATAAATAAATAAATAAATATTAAAAAAAAAAAAAAAAGAAAAGAAAAGGACACCCACTCTTTCCTTGATGCTTTCGAATCAGCTTGGGGACGTTCAAGATTTGTTGGCGCGACCTGGAAGGGCTGAGCCCTGCCTTGCCTCAGTCCTCTGATGGCCAGTGCGGCTTCAGGCTGGTCCAGCCAGAGTGAGGGGCGGCATTCTGCCCCTGACATCCTGAGCAAGGGAAGTGCTGGGGAGGGGGCAAGGCCGAGTGGCCATTTTGGGAGTCTTTAAAAGGGAGCAATTTCCATGGGCTCACTCTTATTGTCCTTACAGCCGCTGTGGACCATAATGGTCCCGCCAGCTGGTCAGGCAGCAGACATTTCCCACTTCTCCAAGGGAGTGACCTCAGGAGGACCAGGCCTCTGCTGCACCCTCCCACCCTGTGGGGGTGGCAGGACTTGGTAAGACTTTGCCACAGGCTGCCAAAGACCCTGGCTCTAGAAGTAGCAGACCTTGCTGCCCCTGCTGGCTCCTGTAGTTGTAGCTCCATCTCACACAGGGGGTTGGTACCTGGACCTCCTCACTCTCCCTCTACCCAACTAGTTCTTCCTCTCCCTCTCCCCTGTTGGCTAAAATAAATCTTTTTTTTTTTTTCTTTTGCTGCACCAAAACCCCTTTTGTTTGCATAGGTGGTGAGTGGCCTTACCTGAATGGTGAGGGAAGTTCTGACCTGGTGACAGTTATAGAACCTTTGCCTGGTAACAGATTCAGACCCACCAGGAATCCATTGTTACAGCCAAATAAGGCATTGCTGCTGGAAGTGTACAAGACATAATGCTGCCTTACGAGAGGTGTTGAAGATGGCTTCATTCACAACGGCCTAGCAGAATTAGCAAAGCTGCCAAAGGCTTAGACAAGTACCAAGCTCATCTTTGTGTACTTGCATCCAGCTGTGGTGAACCTTGTATGTCATGTTGGTGGAGGCCCTTAATGCTGAGCACATCAGTCTGCTTGACCTCACTAATGACCTAAAGTTGATGGCAACAAGAAACTAGGAAAGTGAGCAGGCCCCTGTAATACAGAGGGAAAACCTTGTGAAGTGGTTGGCTGCAGTTGTATAAAGTTAAGGACTATGTTAAAGTATCTCAGGCCAAGGATGTCATTGAGGAGTGCTTCAGAAACAAGAAATGAATGACTAAAACAATTTGATGCTTGTTAAAAAATCATTCAATCAAAGAACACTCAATCCCAATTCCCTCCTAACATGTGCCATTAAAGACTTTTGACTCTTGGACCTGATAAACACATGATCTTTTAAAACCACAAATGATGCTTCTCAACCCCAAGCTAAAGGCATACTCTCTGCCCACCTGATTAACTCTTCTTGTTCTAGATGGATTGTTCTTGAGTCATGTCTCTGGTATGCTGGGAGGACTTCTGGCCTACATCTTAGAGCTGGTGTGGCAACTCTTTCATTGCCCGATATGGGCAAATCCTGAGCTCTGTGTTTGCTTAGTTCACAGTCATATTAGCAGCATGTTTTTTTCCTCCCTGTTGGCTAACCATATCAATGAAAGCACAGAAATGTCAAGAATGCTCTTTCTAAGCAGATATTTATGATGTGCATGCATTCCTGCCTTGTCCGCATCTTCTTTCTTTCCTGAAAGTGATGTCAGCATCCAGCCCTGGTTGCTGCTGAATGCTCAGACTGCCACTGATTAGGGTGCAGGGGAACATGCCAGTTGAGGCTATTCTGCTCAGTTCTGAGTTCACTGTGTATTGTTTACAGAAGAAATGTTTTAAGGTAGAGGAAAAGGAAGCTTGCCAAGGATGTTTAATAGCATTCCCTCCCAGAATAAATGTAAATATTTGTATTCTGAATAACTGTTAGTGATTCTTATCTGGGACTCTTTATTTTAAAGAACTGAAAGGACTATGCTATGTAGGTAAGCGTTCAGAAGCACATACCACTGTTATTCCAGGCTATGTTGGCAGATGCGGCTAGCAGCCTTTCCACTGTCCATCCCCTGCCCCTTCTTTCTTACCAAGGGATCCTAATTTTACTCAAGGCATAGTCTTCCCAATTAAAAATATCCACTTCCTGGGCCTCCCCGGTGGCGCAGCGGTTGAGCACTGGGTTGCGAAGCTGCCCGCAGCCTCTGTGGCGCCGGTTCGATCCCCGGCTGCTCCCCGGCCACTGGAGGAGGGTCCCACATGGCGCGCAGACCTCTCCTGCCGCCCGCTGCTCCCCTCAGCAGTGTACCTCGGTCCTTCTGCCTGCTCTGCTCCCCGCTCTGGCTCTGGTGAATTCTCTCACCCTCCCGCGCTTCTGACTGTACCCAGTGCATGTATAAACAAAACAAACAAACAAACAAATAAATAAATAAAGCATGCCTCTATTAAAAAAAAAAAAAATCCACTTCCTGGTTCCCTTGCAGGTAGGAATGGCCATGTAACCCAACTCTGGGGTTGGGGTATAGGTGGAAGTTTTTAGGTCAGTACTCTAGGAATCCTTTTTTAATGAGAAAATCTTAGCTAGCATTTGCCCTTTGCTTTTTCTTTTTTCTTGAAATGTAGATCAATGCCCAACCCTCCAACTTGCACCCACAATCACAAGTGCCCCTTGCTAAAGAAGCAGCAAGATAGAATGACCAAAGGTCCCTGACAACATCAGGGAGCCACCAAGTTGCTGATGTCATATGTAAAAGCAATCCATCAATGAAACAAACAAATGAAAAGTCTTTTGGTTAACCCACTATAATCAAGTTACTGTTCCATGCAATCAAAACTGATGGATGATTAAAACATTTAATGTACTTTGCTAGAAAATGGAGGCAAATTGATGGTTTGTCCTTTAGAACAGTGCTGCTCAAACTCTGATATGCATATGCATGACATGGGGACTGTATTGAAAAGGCAGGTTCTGATTCGGTATGCCTGGGTTGGAGTCTGAGCTTCTTCATTACTTGCAAGTTTGTGGTTAATACCCTTGATGTCAGTCCTGGACCACACTTTGAGTAGCAAGAATTTAGAAAATAATAGTTTTATTGGTTACTCTGCTTCTTTTTGGAGCTATTCTGTTTTTCTATTCAGTTAAAAAATCTGCAAAGGACTCAGTGCATTTTGAACAAAAAGTTAAGATTTTATTTGGAATATCATTTTAGAGACAAAAAGCAGCTCATATTGTTTAGCAAAATAAATTTAACAAATGCATTTAAATAAGGTAAATTCAAGACATTTATATATTTCTTTTTTAGTTGCTTGCTTTTCTTCCAGTTGGAGTTTTGCCTTTTAGCCTAACTGAATACTTTTTAAATTAAAACAGCTTTAATTGAGAAATTGCTTTAATTGAGAAATTGCTTTATAAAATCTGAATGACTCAAATATCCCTCTGTATTCCCACTTAACCTCAACAAAAACAACTTAGGAAATAGATACAGCAGGAAATGTTTCTCCCTCTTGGTCATGTTATCTTTACCATGTAACCTGCCTACTCTGAAATGGATAGTGAAAGTAAATTTGCTAGTAGGAGGTGATGGTGAAAAGCAAATTTAGATGGTTTTCAAGCCATCCATCATCATGAACTGAAAAGAAATGCAAGCCATACCACTTTCCTAGCCAGAAGCTACACATAGCTTCCTATTGTTATTTTTTTCTAGTTATATACATTTAAAAAAATATAACATTATGTTAAATAGCAGGACAGCTGACATTGGAACAGACAACACTGCACTGAAAAATTGAAATGGCTTGGTTGAGCCAAGCAGAGAAATAGCAGATGCTTTTCCTGTAGGGAAGCCGCCAATGTCCACCACCTCCTTAGTCTGTAACAGATCTGCATTCCGATGGTAGGCCTTCCGACCTCCGCCACTGGGCCAGGCGTTGCTTAAACCATTTCTGGAGGAGGAAAATGTACAAAATTACCCGTCACATACTGAGAAATTGATATACCTATTCTCTTTCTAACAGGTAGACTCGTGGGCCACCTGTAAGGAAGAGAGCAAGGAATGTGTCCATGGGGATGGTTCTCCTCATTATGGCACTTTTTCTGCCCCCAGATCTTCGTGAATACTTTTTCTTAAGCTTGGAATGTTCTATCTTCATTCTTTATCTGATGATCTCCCTCTCATCTTTAGGTATCAGCTTAAAACAACCTTATCAATGAAGCCTTCCCTGACCACTTCATCTGGAGTAGGTGTTCACAGAACCTATGTCACAGAACCTTTAAAATAAACTGTAATTACTTATTTCTGTATTCACTTTTTTTTAATCTACATTAGATGGATCTAAAATATAAGATCCATGAAAGTAGAGACTATTCAACATATCATCACTATATCCTTGCCCCTCACATAAACGCTTAACAGAGATTGATAAGTGTTTGTTGAATGAATAAAAGAAATGAAAGCACCTCCTAGATGCCCCATATATGTCTCTAAAGCTACTATATTTCATCAGTGTGTGCTGACCTCACCTTGATCATGGATAGAGCTTAGTATGTATTGAATAAAATGGATAACTGAGCACTGGACAATTTCAGACTACAAGTTGGGGACCCATGGAGTAGATTAGTTGATCTTTCCTACTCTGGGGCTGCTGAGCAGTGAGAAAATACACAGTAGGTTTATAGTTTACTCAGAATCATCAAGCTCACAAAAAAACATGGGTCGAGGGAAGGCCTCAAATGGAATGCTTCTAGTCATGGTACCATGTGAAGGCTAAGACATAATAAAGGTAGTTGCTTTCTTTATTATGGCTACGGCAAGAAGTGGTATGGGGGGAAGACTCTGCAAAGAGAAGATAAAGGGACAAATGTTGGGGAAAAAGCTAAAGTATGGACCTGGTTGGCCAGAGGAAACAGGGATATTTAAAAACAACTTTGAACATTAATTCCAAAGGACACCTGCACCCCTGTGTTTATAGCAACACTATTTACAATAGCTAAGCTATGGAAACAACCCAAATGCCCAAAAATAGATGACTGGATCAAGAAGATGTGGCACATATACACAATGGAATATTACTCAGCAATCAAAAAAGATAAACTCATACAATTTGCAGCAACATGGATGGAGCTAGAAGGGATCATGCTCAGCGAAGTAAGTCAGAAAGAAAAAGAAGAATACCAGATGGTCTCACTCATAGCAGGAATTTAGAAAACCTAAATAAGGGACCAGGAAAAAGACTAATTAATACAAAGTAAAAATCAAAATCAACAAGAAACTGTAAACCAGAGACACACTACGGGGGTGGAGGGGTGAGGAAGGATTAGGGTCAAAATAAGGGGGGGGGTGCAATTGTATGGGGAATATAACCAAAATGAAAATGCATACATTGTGCAAAAAGGAAAAATGATGTAAGAATTATATAAAATATTTTAAAAAATTAAAAAAATAAACAAAAACAACTTTGAAGAGGGGCTAGTGAGGACATAGAAGCATCAAACATTGATCCACATGGGAAGGGCTGAGTTAAAGAATCTGGGAAGTCAGGACTCCCAAACTGTATTCTTTGAACATCTTGGTATAGATTGAGAATGATGATATTGTTGTGTCGCACTGGTAGGAGCAGTCGTCACTTGGGTAGGTGACCAGTGGGTTCTGTAGTCCTGGGCCTGCCAACAGGAAACTCTGCTAAAACCATTGGTTATAAGAACTTGAGAAAGTCCCTAAAAGTAAAGCCCCAATCTGTAATCTGTAAATGAAGAGATAAGCTCAGGGGGTCTCTATTATCCCTCATGGGTTTTCCAAAATTCAACTATTCTAGGAGTAAGCAGATGAGGGACAGTAAGGAAACAGAAAGAGCACAGCGGTGGGACACACAACCAGGGATGTGCTGATGGAGATGGGGTGGTGAGAAATGTCTACAGGACTCTGACTTCATATGGCAGACCCTGTCCAGATTTGGATTTAACTACAGAAATAAAAGGGTGGGCTCAAAGGTCACGCTGGGGAAGAATGCATCTCTGCTAAGATCTGGGGAGCTGAAAGGCACTTACACATAAGCCCCAAAACAGAAGAAAAGGTGAGACTCAGAGAGGAAGGAATGCTTGTAAGGATCAAAGCCCCCAGACGTTTCAGGCTTTGCCACAAAGCTAAGCTGACTAGACAGCAGGGACCACATACACAACTCACCCTAACTGTTACAAGGGTTTACACACTGCACTGCCTTACACAGCTGTCAAGATCAGTTGACTTATACACCTTTGTACTGTGGGGTGGCAGAAGAGAAAAGTAATCCAAGGCCAGGTGCAGGGTAGGGTAAGTGATTATCAGACTTTTCCGCCCTCCCACCATTGGCATTGATGATGGATCCCTGCGGTCCTACCTGCATGCCTGATGGCGGGCATCTAGAGTAGGGTGTGGGCACACTTGTGCTGAGACTGGGCTTGTAAGGGTGGTGTCACAGGGACACCAGCAGAAGGAACCAAGAGAGAGTAGCAGAACAAGAGAGCAGAGCAGTGAACGAAAAAGAGTAACAGAACGAGAACGCCAGAGAGCCCAGAAAGAGTGAAGATTCATTCCCCAGGGGCTGGGAGGCCTACCAGCCTCCAGGCCCCTGGACCCCCTGCCCGCCACGTACTTGGTAAAAGCTCAATAAAAGCCTGAAAAGCCACCAAGGGCTTCAGGACTCTTCTTTACCTATCTGCTCAGATCTTAGAGATACTGCCCTGTGCCTTCCTGCCACTACAGGCAGAGACTATGGTTAGGGAGTCTTCTCTTTGGTGGTTGGACTCCGGGTGCTCTCTTTTACACCTGGTGATCCCTAACTTTACCAAGAAAGAACTCATGGTTTTGGTAGCTTTAACTGAATTTCTAGTGTGTTTTCTTCATTAATCCGTGTATGGATTTAGTTAACTTTGGGATCTGGTATGAGAGCTGCACAGCTCCAGTTTTATTAATGAGGCAGCTCTGTGGGGGGTTTCAAGGCTACAAGGTCTGACTCATTAGGATTTCCAGTTACTAGAACTGAATAAATGGCAGAGTTTTATAGGCTGACTAATTAAAACTTGGAGGAATAAAGACTCATTTTCCATCAGGATTCATTTAAGACAAAATGATTGAACTGGCCTCATTCAGGAGAGCCACCCACATGTTTACAGTAGTAACGAAGCAGAATATAAATGCATAGTTACCAAAAATATCTTCAGCAAGGACCACATTTGTGAATTGGTGAGTTGGCATCCAAATGCTTAACAAATTGAGTCCTAGCAAGGGGCTAGGTCAAGGTTAAAGAAAAGTTCAATGATTTTCTGAACTTGCATATTTTAAATCAAGTTGGCAGATGATAATTTCGCAAACCAGTGGCTCTCTAACAAATACCATTATGCACCTTGCTTGCTTTTATTTCCTCTAGAGCTGAATCTTATCCTGTGTCACTCACATCAATCCTAATTTTCCACCTGGCTTTATCCTTCTCTTCTGTTTCAGTCATCCCCTGGGAAAGACATTCATCCCTTGCTTGCTTGTAAATGAATACCCTCATTACCCTCTCCTGCTGATGGAGATTTATTTACTCCGAGTGAACAGATGATAATTAGACACTGTGATGGGGGGTGGGGGGGAAGCAAAATAACATTGTTCCTGCCCTATTCTCTAGTAACTAACATTTCATTCTTTTCAGGAGGGAGAACTTTAGAGGTCTTTTTTCCAATGGTAAGACAACCAACAACTCAAGCCACTCACTGAATTCTGGGAATAATCCCAGGACATCAACAGGATATAAAAATACTGGAAACCTCTCTAAGAATCAATGCCAGCTACACTGGGCTTGAATTTGTGATAACAGAAAATGCCAGATCATCTCAACCTCCCAAGGGGCTGATGAAAAAAATTTCCCAGCCCCTTCTAACGTTGGCTTCAAAATAATACAAGACACAAGGGCTGGGATTCTGTATGGTTTATCTGACTTAAATCTGTTAGCTATCTAATTGACGTCATGAGAAAAACCTATTCTAGGATCCCAGCAAAAACCTCTTCCCATAAGAGTACTCTGCACCTCACGCCAGCGTCCTACAGGTGGCGCTCCTCCAAGCAGAGCGCATTCCCTGCAGGGGGACTGTAGGTCACCAAAGCCCCCAATCAGAGAAAGCTTCAAATATTTAGTCTTGCTCCTGCCAAAGTATCAGCAGTATGAATCAGCCCGAGTTCATTCACAAGAGCATCTCATGCTTATTTTTCTTCTACTAAAGTATTACTTGTTTTAGAAAAATGATTATGAGTTCAGTTCTGGAGGGAGATGAGGTTAGGGATGAAGGACCAGACATATGAAATGACTATTATTTTGGCTTCGGTGACCCTTCCTTGTGAAAGGAGCAAGACTAATAAAGGATAGATGCAAAAGTCCTGATACAGGACAGAGCTTGTATGTAGGCCCAGTAGACTCTGGCCTCCGCAGAGTTATTTAAGGATGTTACAAGGCCAGCTACACATCAAAAGAATTTCATTAATGCCTATGAGTTCAATATTGGCCATTATCTCTCCAGAAGACACTTCTGAAAATGTAAATGCTGTTTGAGAAGATGAAAGAAGAAACCATTCTCTCCTGCCAGTGGACACTGGGGTGGGAAGGATTGAGAAGAGTTTGGGGTAGAAGGGATGGCATGTGAAACGATGGAACCAATCCAGTGGAGGCTGGCAGGTTTCAGATAGCTCAGCTACCTGGGAAGACTCTTTCCCTATACTTGCTAAAATTTGCCTCTCCGAGCTCTGGGGTCTCAGATGCTCCCCTGCAAGGTCAGGCAGCGTCCAGCCAGGCGGTGGCAGACTTAGGGAGGAAGAAGGTGTTGGCCCTATGGCAGGAAAAGGAAGTCAGAGGCCTTGCTATGAGGCTGACTCACCCCCACACCCACTCATTTTGGGACTGGTTATACTGTTTGTTCTCTTGAGGATGACAGAAGAGAAGAATTGGGAGAAAGAGTGTCTGAGCAAGTCAAATGCACCTGCTGTGAACTGTCTGAATTGGTTGACCTCAATCACAGAAACAAGCAGGTGTCCTTTCTTCTTGCCTATCAGCTGATATCATTCAAGTATCTAAAATAAGGTGAATCTCAAGAACAGATAGAATATAACCTGGGATGACATCATTTAATGCATGGTTTGTTTGTTTGTTTTCAGGAAAAAATAAATCAAAGTTCAAGCCTTCTCTCCCACTCCAGCTAGTTGTTTCCATTCTTATGCTATGAAGACAACCTAGCAAGGTGGCTAAGAGCATAGATTGTGGGACTGGAGGCCAAGGTTCAAATCCTAGCTCTGCTACTTTCCAGTTGTGATTCAGGCAAGTCTGTTTAATCTTTTTGTTTCATTTCCCCTTTCTATATACAAATGGGGACACCTCACAGCATTGTTATGAATCAGTGATTGAAACTTAGGGGCTGCTTGGAACAATACCTGGCTCCTATTAGCCATGGCAAAGGCAAAGGTCAGTATAATCATTCTGCTTTACAGGTAAGGGAATGGCAGTAATTTATCAATGAAGATCAGCTGAAAAGAGGCTAGATGTCTGTTGGCACTGGGTCCACAGCAAGCCCACAGCTTTCTTTTTAAAAGATAAGTTATTGCCTCTGAGATCACTCCTCTTTTCTAAATATAGGGTGGGATTTTAAATGATAAAACTTCCTGGGGCTGTCTCCCTGGGGGTTCCAAGAAACTCAGCTGTTTGACTTGGTTAATAGTAAATCACCTTCTACTAAGTTCTGGTTCTGTTAGCCACACAGCTGTTCTGTTAGCCAGACAGCTAAAAGCAGATATGCTTGACTTTCTATAGACTTAGAAATGAGAGAATTTTCTATGGGCAAATTCTCCAAAGCCTGGCTTAATTAGTAAAAATCACTTTGGCCTTGGGGTTCGGGGTCTCTGTAGCTACAATCCATATTCAACTGAAAATGGTTTATATGTGAAAAGAACAAAGTGCCAAGTTTATGAAATGGGTTTATGAAATGGGTGGAACAAGCTGTGTCCAGAAATATGAACTGCTTTGGGCTCCAGCGGGAGGGATGCTCGCACACTTCCTAGCGGTACCATGTATAACACTGGCTCTCCATAACCAAAAGGAAAAAAGAGAATTCAGAATTTAGACAGGATTTTAAAAAAAATAGTCAGTTGAAGGCAACAACACTGAACCTGGGGAACAACTGTGGGGTGTTGCATTCTGTACCCTAAACAGTTTCAGGATAACATAGGAGCTTTTATGAACAAACAAATGCACTTAAAGGGGTATCTGCTTCCACTTCCTTTTGCATTATACCTGCTTGGAAAACTCCAGGAAAAGACGAAACCTTGGGGCCAGAAAATGGAAGAAAGTCAGAACCCCATCTCCTTGGCTACCTGCAGTTTGCGCTCTGCAGCTCAGGAGAAGCTGCAGCGTGACGTGGTGGAATGATCCCGCCTAACAATTCATGCCATCCAGGCAATTCCCTCCCTCTCGGTCTGTGTTCTCTGCCCAACCTGAGGTCTGCGTTTACAGCTGATGGTTAAGATCCCTTCCAGCGCTGACATTCCCGCCGGGAAGACACTTGCGGGGGCTGGGCTCTGAGCGCGGCTTCTCTCTGGCAGGTTTCACTCGCAGCCCAGAGGAGAAACTGAACCCAGAAAAGCCAGACAACAGTGGGCCAGGGATGCTGCCCCCAGCCCGGAGGGAAGAGACAGCGTGTGTGCCGGGCTGCAGGGGGCTGGGAAAGCAAGAACAGGGTGTTTCTAAGCTGCTGCTGGGAAAACACCGGGAGAGGGATGGGGCCAGGCAGCTCGGAGGCGCTGGGCTCCCCGGGTGTGGACAGAGCCGTGAAAAATCATTAAGGAAGGAAGGAGGCGTCAAGGCGGAAAGCGAGGACCGGGCTATCCGCGCAGCGGCCGGACGACCCGGGCGCAGGTGGGCGCCGCGGAGCGAGCCGGGGTGCGCGCGTCGGGGCTCACCTGGGTCTCCTCCTCGGACAGGCCGGCCTCCGCAGCGATGAGGCACAGCGTGGTGGGGTCCGGGTGTTTGTTGACCTTGTTGAAGTTGTACTCCAGGATTTCCACCTGGTCCTCAGTGGGGCCGCTCCCGGTCTCCGCCGACATGGTCCTGGCGCGCCTGCCGGGGAGGAAGAAGCGGCTGCTGTGAGCACAGCCCCGGACGGGGCTGGGAAGGAGAAGGGGGCGCGGGGAGGGACGGAGATCCGGGGCGCGGCCCGGCACCCTCAGCCCGCCCGGCCATCCCCTCCCACCGCCGCACCGCAGCGCGAGTCCCCGGCGATTGCAGGGTGCGGCGGGAGCGTCCCCTGGCTGCTCCCGGGGCGCGTCTAAGTGGTCCACAGCCGAGTTGCGCGTTCTCTGGGCCCCGGGCCTGCCACCAAAAATTGACAGCAGTTTTCCCTGGGGCCGGGATCTAGGATGGTGGGAGGAGATGACGCGCACACCCTCCTGGCCCTGAGGCTCTAGGAAAGGACTGCAGGAAGCGCGTACTGGCCCTTGATCTTGAATCCCGCCTCCACTGCTTCCCCGGGGTGGGAGGCCTCGGGGGAACTGGCCTGAAAGCTGGCAGGGGTGGGGACACCTGAGTCCGCTGCGGGCATACCTCACAGGTACGTGCTTTAGCACTTGGGGTCTGGCCGGCGCAGGTCTGTACACCCTACACGTCCTCCAAAGAAATGGCAGGGCAGAAGTTACTTCTCAAAGTTGGGGAGATGGGCAGTGGTGGGCTGTTAATGTCGCTCCTTTTACAAAGGTGGAAATGGGTCCAAAGAGAGGTGCTTTTTTAAAAACTAAATTTTTAAATTTTTTTTTAAAGATTCATTTTTGCATACAAGAGCTGGGGTACAGGCCAGAGGTGTGGGGGGCGAGCGGATTCACCAGAGACAGAGTGGGGAACAGAACAGGCAGACTGTCTGAAATACACTGCTGAGGGGAGCAGCGGGTGAGTCAGGAGAGGTCTGTTCCCTGGAGGGCCAGGGATCAAACTCATGCTGCAGAGGCTGCAGATAGCTTCACAGGTTGCGTCTTAACCCCTTGCGCCACCAGGGAGGTCCTTTTAAGTTTTGTCACGTCCTTGTTCATTTTTGCTTTACTGGTAGAGCCCCCATGGCCAGACATCCAGAGATATTTCCCCCTAAGGGTTTGTGTGGCCACTCTGCATGCCAGCCTCCTCCACTACTTCTCTACCCTTGGTTTAGTAACTAAAACCCTGAGTCCCAGGTCTGTGGTCAACCTGGCTGCTCACTGCCCAATGTGGCCTGGACATTGTTCCACCATGAAGGGATTCTGTACCCCATCAGTGAGGACTTCCAAGAAAGAGCCAAAACCCAAATGAGGAGGATCAAAACCCAGATGACCTCATTTGAAGTCAAAACCTCAGACTTCCCTGGCAGTTGCATTAAAATTTACAATCAAATCAAGAGAAGAGAGTTATTATAAGCTTCAAGTTCTCCTGTATGTCCTTATTTTGGAGTCAAACATTGCTTGAGTATATTTTGAGCAGCATGACTTCCTGCTGTGTCTCTTCCATCTGGAAGTAGCTCTGACCTAGAACAACAACAAAATAGGCCACTGTGGACCTATCCTCAGCCTTCCCCCAACTTAAGATGTATTGTGGTATAAGAAGTTAGTCCTCTAGATCTTAGCTGTGGATTTGGTCCAGACAGGTCAGGACTTGACGCTGCTGACGGTAAAAGACAAGTGCTAGTGTGGGAATCACGTTGGTTTGTTGTTTCAACAAACAATTGCAAAATCATCCAGCACTAACCTGAGTAGGTTTTGATGTGGTTTGTGCTTGAAGATGAGCCACACTCCATGGACCTGCCTGCACAATCTACTTGATGTGATTACAACTGTTTGTGCTGTGTCCTTGTTTCTCCTCTAGGTCACTAGGCTTTCAGGAGGGACATGAAGTCATTCTTCTGTGAGGGAATTGAAAGCTCAAGCCACTTGTCAGGTCACTGTGCAATTCCCTGTGTTTTAGTGAGTTCTGTGCTTCTCCTCCTAAAAATCTGTATTAGTGATTTCTGACATAGTGTTGAGGCACGATGGGGTCAAGTCAGGTAAAAATGTCTTCTCTCCTGTTGGCATCCAACTCCCCCTGTTTTGATACACAACTTCAGAACTGGAAAGCACCTTGGAGACAACTCCTCCAGTCTTCTCCTGTAACAGGCCAAGAGAATGAGACCCATTCTCTGAGAAAGAGCTTTCTTTCCCAGTGTTGCCCGGTTAGTCCTACCTCAGGCATGGGCTTGTTGCCATTTTGAATGGGCATTAAAAGTACTTATAGGAGAAGGCCTCCCTAGTGGCACAGGGGTTAAGTAGCAGCACTATCAAGCTATTGGCAGCCACTGTGGCATGAGTTCGATCCCTGGCCAGGGAGCTAACCCACAAGGCTCAGCAGACCTGTCCTGTCTTACCCACTGCTTCCCTCAACAGTGTATTTCAGTAGATCTGCCTGTTCTGCTCCCCACTCTGTCCCTGCTGAATCCTCTCCCCCCCACCCCCAACACACACCTCTGGCCTACCCCCAGTTCTTATAGGCACAAATAAATGCAAAAAAAAAATCCTTATAGGATACCAACCCCAGCCAAAGCAGCCCACTGGAGCCCACTATTGCTTGCTTTGCCTAAAAGAACACGGGAAAGGGGAAACTATTGCCTCTCATTTGATTTCTTGCCCTAGAAGAATTCCTTCTCATTCCATCAATGTAGTTAGTGACACTGGCTCTTCCAGGAAACTTTTTACTTCTTTGTAGACTACTCAGTCCATCAGAAATAATCACCAACTGTACAAATTCCTAAACTGGACTCAGATTCAAGGGCTATTATGCATGGACTTTCCTGACTCTTGTTATTGAATTGCTATTACATTATCTGAAAGTTACTGATGTCCTTACATTTAATCAGGTGCATTTTCTCTTATTTTTTTGTGCCTTCCTCTTACAGGACTTTGTGTGAGGTTTCATGAACAGTTGACTTAAAAAAATTCCTTGGGTTACTTGGCTAAAGGCCACTGGACTTGGTTTATTGCTAAAGAGATTTGTGGGAGGGCCATTTGACAGCCCCTACTTCTCCAAGATACACCAAACAAACAAATTTGATTTCTAGAAATGAGGGTGAAGGATCTAAACTTTATTATTAAACCTACCCATTATTTCTCCACAAAATTCTCTGTTGTCTCAGCCCATTCTGGTTGACTCTGCTGTTTGCTGCTGCTGCTTCATTTCTTCTGTCCCTTACCCTCTCTCTTTCTTTTAAAGGAAACTTATAAACCAAATCACCCTAGTAACCTTGGCATGATAAAGTTTCTCAACTCGTTCCAGTAAGGAAACTGTTGAAAGGTTTCTCTGAAGGTAGTCTAAACAATTTCAGATAAAAGAGTTAAAAATATTTTAAAGCTTCTTAAACTTTAATCTTAGTACAAGTTCCTTTGTTGCTGTGGTTATTAATATCTTATGAAACATTCAAAGGGTAATTTGTCCCATAGTTGTGTTTTCTTTTGTGGTTGGGCACAGATAGTACATAAACCTTTTCAAGAGGTTAAATGAAAACTGCTGACTTTTTTCAAAATTAATTCCTGTGTAGACAGCTATGTCAATCTGACAGCTTTACCTTTGGTCCCTAATCCTATTGTCGTTTATTTTAAAAGAACCTACCTATATGAATTTGCTCACAGAGAATGCTGCAAACTGATAACCTGCAAAAATGGCTTCAGGCTAACATTTACCATCTTCTCTCCCTCCCCCCCCCCCAGTCACTCTGATCTCTTCATAATGCCATGATGATCAAATCAAGAGAAAAAAGTTATTGGTGGCAGATTCTCTCATAAAGAGTCTCATGGGGAGCTGGACAAAGCAAAAAAGGTAGCCTGTAAAGTTTGTCCTTAGATTCCTTATATTTTCCAGTGATGAAAATGCTAATTTTTTTAAAGATTTATTTTTTTATGCATACAAGAGCTGGGGTACAGGCCAGACATGCTGGGCGGGAGTGTGTGAGAGGATTCACCAGAGACAGAGCGGGGAACAGAACAGGCAGACTGATGAAATACACTGCTGAGGGGAGCAGAAGTCACGACAGGAGAGGTCTGTTGTGCCATGTGGATTGCTCCCTGGCTGGCCAGGGATCGAACTCGTGCTGCAGTGGCTGCGGATTGCTTCGTAGTCCTGTGCTTAACCCCTTGCGCCACCAAGGAGGCCCCAGAAATGCTAAATTTTAAGTTATCATTTATATGGACAACTTACATAGTAGAACTTAAGCCATTACAATGAATACATCACGTATCCATAACGTCATTGATGTCTTCAGGGAAGGAAATTTTAAATCTAAATAGAAAAATTTTTTTCAAATGCTACATTGATTCCAATTTACATACATAAAAGCTTGTGGAAATACAGCAAAATGTTAACAGTGGTTATATGTAGATTGTAGGATTATGGAATAACCTAATTTTTTTTCTTCTTTATATCTTTCTGATTTTTCCCATTTTCATTTATTATTTTGCAATTAGAAATTTTCATTTTTTTCTTCAAAATACATCTTTTATCAGACTAATGATCCACCTTGCCCAGTGCATCATCTAACTCTTGGTAACAAATTGCTTTTTTAGGGAAGGCATGAGCCTTGCCTTTCTATCAAGTTTACCTAGAAGAATAGGGGAGAAAACATTTTATTTTTCACTCAAAGTTTATTCCATATCCAAAGGAAAATGTACTGTACATTTCAATTATGAAGCATAATTAAACACCAGTGAAACCCACCTGATTTAAGAACTAACTCATTGCCAAGATTATGGAAACTGCCTGTATTTCCTTTTCAATCCTGTCCTCTGGTTTACCTGCCACCAGAGGAAACCAAGGTTCTAAGTTTTGTATTAGTCATTCCTTTGTTTTTTTTTTTAAGTTAGTTCTATCACATGTATGGATTCCTAAAATAATATTTTTTAGATTTGTGTATTTTTGAGTGGCAGAAGATCATGCTATATATAACTTCTCTAAGTTGCTTTTTCATCAACATATTTGCAAGGTTCACCCTCATTCTACTTGTAGAGATTCATATTCAGTAGTTTCCATTTGTGAATATAGTACCATTTTTAATGTCTTTTTTTTTTTTTCTTTTTTGT